GAGGGAGTTTTTCCTCCACTGTCTCCAAAGTGCTGCTCAATGTGGGGACACCTGGGTTTCTCTATATTAAATATGATTTTAAGGTCTTGACCTTCTATGTAAGGTGCCTTGAGATAATGTATATATACATTTACGCTTCAAATTGTCTCACTCAAGAAACGTCTTGATAATGCCCCGTAAAGTGCAGATCCTATGCGTATGTTTGTGTGTGTGCATACATGGGTGTGTGAACTATATCTTTGAGTCTGCATTTGCTTTATCTCTCAAGTCTGAACAGGTTCAAAGTTTCTCCCAGAAAACACTTTGGGCCTGAGTCATCAAGCGTTCTACAGAGGAAATTTCTACGTTTTTTTCTAATATTCTGACATTCCCTAATGTTTTCTTATCTGGGATTTGTTCTTATAGAAGACCAGAATCTACACACACTGAAGAGCACTCTTAAGCAGACTTGACTACTGACAAGCTTGTATAAAATAATCAGCTATGATGTTCAGTTCATCACGGAATGATAAAAGTGAACAGCTGACAGTAAGTGATCTTCTTCTGCAGCACAATGATAACATTCTAGCTTAATACAAGTCAGAGGATGACTGTACTAAAAAGAAGATTAAAAATAAATCAAAATGAAAGAGGCTTAGAGAAGCACCTTATCCCATGGTAAATCAAATAAACGATGCAGGAAATCAGGCTGTCAAGTACTGATCAACTGACCTGGGAGAAATAAATAACAACAGAAATACGATGTGGTGGAAAACAGAGATTACGTGAGTGACAGCTGGAGGAAAAAAGCTTTGCATATTTTGTCTTCAGTGGGACACTCAAGTAAGTTAAACAGAATATTGGGCCTTATTCACCAACCATTCTTAAGAGGAAATGTCTTCTTAAAACAGTTTTTACAAATATTCACCAATAGACATTCACAAATGTTTTCATATCTGGGATCTACGCACACTAAAGAGCTCTCTTACACACTTGACTACTGACAAGTTTTGCCAATGACCACACACAGTCCAGCCATATACTAGGTTTTGACCTAGTCTTTCTTTTATTATGACAGACTTACCCTGTGAGCAGAGGAGGATCTGCATCTCCAGCAGGGTGCAGGTGAACACCTGGACCAGATTTTCTACTCCCAGCAGGTTGAAAGCCTCTGAAAGGGGGAAGTCAGCAAGTGGCAGCTCCCCCAGCCCAGGCCTCTGGCACACGATGGGCTCATATACACCGTGGAACTTGAGCGTTCGGCCTGGAGCAGGCAGCGGCACCTCATACAGGATATTGTGAATGTAGCTCTCAAGTGGTAGTGGGGGGGCAGTGGTTGCTGTAACAGCCCTGTGTAGCTGTGACAGGAAGTGGCGGCATGCGTACATGAATGGCATGGGAGTGACCAGACACAAAGCTTTGGACACATAGAGGGTGTCCCGTGACGAGTCATAGCCACCTGCTGCCCGAGATGAAGGTAAGGTGGATGAGAAGGTGGTGGAGTCAGCCTCGTCCAAACTGCTGGTCAGAGAGTCCATGCTGGAGGAGGAGGAAGAGGAGGAGGACTGGGGGTTGGCGGAGGCATGCTCTGCATTGTGCATCTGGGAGAGGGTCTGCATGTCGGAGCAGATCTGCGGGCTGGTCACCTCCTCATAGAAGGTGTGAACGAAGCCATAAGTTCGAGAACCATCCTCCCTGGTGATGATGAAGGAGTGAAACTGAGGATCACGTGGATCTGCCTGCGTCTGGAATGACAGTCCTTTAGGCATACACAGCTGCAAAGAGAGGAAACAGTGGTCAATCCCCACCTCAGAGCAGACAATTGTCAATTCCACAAAGTAGTCTAGCTCTAGCTAACTTTACCATTGTTCTGATATCATTCTGATCCTGGTGAAAATTGTGTGTGTGTTTGTGTGTGTGCGCGTAAAATGCATACAATTAAATCCAATCAATTCATCACTGACGCCTGAGATATTTGTGAGCGCTTTGTGTTAGTGAGTGTAGGCCTGGGCCGATAATCAATAAATCAATTAATCGCACGGTAAATTAAAATGAACTCAATAATTTTTCCGGCCTCGATATATCGCCATGTGCATGCGTGTTTGTTTTCCTCCTCTCTCGCCTCCAAGCAGGCCGGATGACAAGAGGGTTCACTCTGTGCTCGGTCTCAGCACCTGGGGGCGTTGGTTGCGGAATGAACAGAGTGAACCCTCTTGTCAGTCATCCAGCCTCTTTGTCTCTGTGGGGGGAGGCGGGGCCACTAGCATTAGCCACACATGCTACACACACAGAGTGCAGCGAGTGAGCGTCGATGATGATTGTAAAGCCAAATGCCACAGCCCCAGTGTGGGAATGTTTCGGCTACAAACCGAATGAGCAAGGTGAGCCCATCAACACGGACGAGCCAGTTCAAAAGTGGTGGCAGCGAAAAAAGGCAACACAACAAAGTTGCATGCCCACCTGAAGCATCACCACCCGACCCAGTGTTCCCAGCTGGGGAAACAAAGTGCACCTCAAGATGCAGAGCCTTCGTCCCGAMAGTCAACACTCACTGAGGCGTTTGGTCGACAAAGTAAATATAAACGGAACAGCGCAAAATGGTGTGCGCTCATTGAAAGTGAAGTTCGCTACATCGCTAAAGGTAAAAAACACTGAGAAATAAAAGTGTATTGTCTTTGAAAGGGTGTGCATTATTATTATATATTATCATGTTGACAATAATATCGTTTATCGGCAATAATTCGTGTGACAATATATCGTGCAGCAAAATTTGTTATCGTCCCAGGCCTAAGTGAGTGTAATGTTCTCAAACAGTCTCGATAAATGTTCTTTCATTTCACAATTATAAAAGCAGAGTTAAATTAGCATACAGTACATAATCCATTGATACTGATTGTTATACATGATGAGTATCAGTTTTACCGTGTGAGGACATTTTGGATGGTCCTCACTTTCTAACACCCTCAACTGGCTGTGTGAGGGTTCAGATTTGGTTCTTGGTTTCAGGTTAAATTAAAGATTAGGTTTAGACATTTAATTGTAATGGTTAAGGTTTGAGTTTAGGACTAGGGAAAGCATGATGTAATTGAATGTTCTGGGATGAGAGCATTCGAGGAAGGAAGAGAGGATGATGAGTTTCAGGGGGTCATGGAGGTATGATGGAGGAGGAAGAGAGGAGGAGAGAACCCTCAACAGCTCACATCATCTGGGGGTCAGGTTTCAGTCACAGCACTGCAGCACGATGGCATGTTTCCACAATGTAAAGTGAGACCCAGGACTGAATTATTCAGCAGAGCTGATGGAAAAATAGGCAGTGACCTTCAATCATTAGCAAGTAACACCCAGAGCCACACACAGTGGTGTGGTGCAAGACATAGGCAGGTATATGGCGTACAAGTTATTTTTTAATCAACATATAGTCCATCCTATATCGCCTCTGGTGTACATCATTTAGTCGTGTGCTACAAGCCAAGATAGTGAAAGCATGAACCGCCATTCTCGATTTCTGATTGGATAGTACTCCTTGCCTTTGTTGGTTAGGTTGGTTGGTTTAGGTTAGTCATCCCAGCGTTTGTGTTCCTGGTCTGCCCTTCACCTGACCTCTTCATGAACTTGATAGAAATATCCTAAATAAGGCAAACTACAAAAACATTTGCCTCACATTTTTCAGCCAAAACAACCTTGTGTCACTACACTGGTGCTGCTAGCCACCAGCTAAGGTAGCCCTCCACGTCTCGTCAGAGAGGATGCTGATTTTAACAGAGATTTTTCCTTTTTTAACGATTTCAAGTGTAGGCATCAACCATGGTGAGCATTTTTCAATAGAGTAACTTATATAGTAATATTACTGTGGCATGAATATTAAGAGTCATGCCACAGCTGTGCCTTTGGTGCTGAATGGTTCGGAAGCCAAAGAAGAGGAGTGGAGAGAGGCCCAACAGGGTTTCAATAAGATATGGAGGGAGTAGTACAAGAGGGCCTACCTGAAGTCCCTTGACCACCAAGTGATCAACTTCAAACAGACTGACATGAAGACCCTGCAGTCAAGAAGTCTTTCAATGAGATTGGGAGTATTTTGATGAGTGTCAGGAGCAGACCACAGAATATGGTAGAGTTGGGCAGCAAGCCGCACATGGAGTTCATGCATGAATACAAACAGATCCTTGAGGACACTGCGTCACTCATCGTCAAACTCGTCAGATGGTGGCACACCATCTAGAAAGACAACAAGGACCACATCAAGCGCATCCAGAACTTAGTCCAGGACCTGTTTTACTCTTGCCGCAGTGAGCTCAGTGATACTGAAGAATGGACAGACAAGCAGGTTTAGCGTGAGGATGGAGGAGAGAAAGGAGGTGCAAGGTGTAAATGGTCATTCTAAAAATCAATTCTAAAAATCCATCAGGGGCAACGCTAGCCACAGGTAGTCAAAAAGCATGTGACTTTGCCATGGTGCTGCACCTCAAACAGACCAGTGAGGTGGAATTGGAGTATTACTCCTTCCTGGATATGGTGGCCAGTCTGCTGGATGCAAACCTGGACTCAACAGTACAAATACATCTTCATTATCCATGCCAACATCAGCCTCACCATTGACAAGGTCATCTACAGCATAATTTGGCAGCTGCAGCACCTGGTGACAGGGGGCAGAAGGGGCGAACCTCTCTTCACAGTGTGCCAGAGCTACTTGGGGAGACAATATACCAATGGAGAGCTGAGAGAGTCATGAACGAGGTAAACTGCTTCAAGGTGATATCCAAAAAAGTGAGGAGCTGCTGGACACTGAGAGGGCCCAGGTAGATGACCCATTAGATGTATAGTGCCTGTCGAGCAAACAGCAGGTGGAAGCGATGCTCTGCAAGACAGAGTGGCACAGCCAGTGGTACACAGAAATGCCAGGAGTATGGACTGCTTTTAACACTCAAAACACAGTGTTTGTCATGAACTTCGAGAGGTACATGTACTGCAGAAAAGCACAGGTCAAAGCCAAGAAGTTGCAGCAAAGAGTTGGAATAAGTCAGCACAAACGCTTCTATAAGTGGCACCAGAGCTGGCTGGCTAATCACATCACAGCCTCGGTTGAATGCTTGGCACAGAACTGGCTGGTAGGCAAGGAGGTCCTCCACTTCCACTGATGGATGAAGAAACTATCAGAAAAACTGTGAATGAGTGATAAGAGAGGTGATGTTGAGAAAAGGACCAACATAGTAATAATTATAGAACTCTGCCCGATTAGTTTAATATTGATGAAGCAGTCAAATTATGTCACATCGATGTTCTGACCAAAAGTTTACTCACTAAATCTGTACTTTTTGTAAACTGAGATTAAAAATAAAGGCAGCAAAAGAAAAAAGGTGTCCTTAGGCAAAATACTGAACCCCAGATTGCTCTTCACGGCTGTGCCTGCAGTGTATGAGTGATAGAGATAAAGAAGAATGATAGAGAAAGAACTGCATGTACTGTAGATGCACTAAATGAATGTGTGTGAATGGCAGTTATTGTACAGAGCTTTGAGTGGTCATAAAGACAAAACCGTAACCCTATTTTATAATGGTAGCACACACTGGCCTAGATGATCTGTTGAAAATGTCCTATTCCAAGTGACAGTTTATAAAAGCAACTATTGACCCATAGCCTACTTGCAAAATGCAAGAATATGCAATTTTCATTTGTGGATAGAATAAGGAATATTTGACTCAAAATACATCTACATCAGACTTACATGTCACTGTTTATAACACACAACATTTATACTTAGCTGGATGGGTCAGCGAAAATCGTGGCATTAATCAAGATTATACAACCCATTTAACCAAGCAGGAAAGAAATATCCTGCACTAAATGTTTAATATTTAATCATGAGAAATTTTTGTCAAAAGAGCCAGAGAGTCAATTTTATTTTGAAAAGTTGTGAACTTGGGTCCAAAGATTGTGTCGATTGCTTATGTATGAACTGTTCTGTAAATAATTTAAACTTAAGTTTGGGAAGTTAACCGAACACATGAACAGTGATTCTGTTTAATTTTATTAATTTTGATTGATTATAAAATCTTCATCACATTCATTTGCCACTCCAGGTCTCCCAACACAACCGGATAACTATTGCTCACCACATCTTTCATTAATCTAAATTAGAAGAACAAATATAAATTCAAATGATCAACTCTAATCACCCAGAACGTAACATTTTGTGGTGGTGTGGCAGTTCTGTCACTTTCTCTCTGTGTGACTCTCCTCCTAACAGTTATCAGTGGGGCTGAATACCCCCCTAATACACAGATGAACCAGGTAGGATGAGCAGAAGTTTCTAACTTTACTTAGCAAAAATCAGGTACATTGTATAAAAAAGATCTACACACAACATGCAGGCCACTAACATTAAAAAAGAGGGTATATTATAGGTATGTTTTAGAAGGGCTCACTAATGACAAGGAATAATTCAGAATTATGCATTACCATAATCTAGAGCAGTCGTCACCAATCTTGTCCAGCCCAAGATCAGTTTTTAATTCCAAATGTAAGCTGAGATCTACCACCCTAATATCTTCCAAAAAACCCACTTGGGAGGGTCATATATATAATTTTTTGCAATTTCTGTTAAAGGCTCAGTGAACGAGCGTAAATAAACACAAAGAAAGGCAGTTATGCAACTTTATCTATTCAATGCACTATATTCACATTAATGTCAATTCATATTTATAGCATCTGTTCAATGCACACTATTTAGCTTCAGTTCAACAATATGTTCTGCAGAGGAGCCGCAGCACAATGTTTTAACATATACTGTAAGCTTTGACTTGAATATGGGAATAAATATGACTATTTCCTTGTATAAAAGTAGTCCTGTGTACTCACATAAATACCAGTACTACACAGTATGAAGCCGTGCATCTTCTGCTCCTGCAAACATTTCACAATAAAACACCCTTTTTAAACAAAAAAATGTATAACGTCAACAGAAACGCTGAAGTGCTTTTATTTTGAAACGCCTACAGAAAGTGTTAACAGATCAACATTAAAACTCAGGTGAAAGATCATTTTCTCTGTTTATTCTGTCTATGTCACAACGTATTTACAATACTTCCCGAATCTGTTTCAAAGTAAAAGCACTCCAGCATTTCACTTTCTGAATACATTTATTTGTTGTAACAGGGTTTTGATTGTTATCAACAGACTGAAAGATGCATGTCTTCATACCATTGAGTCCTGACATTTAGATTAGTGCATAATCTGACATGTATTGAAGGAAATGCAGGAGATAAACCAGCAGCTTTGCCTCCAGTAGACACACAGCGGGTGTGAACAACAGACAACCAACTGCAGACTGTGAATCTGGAGAGTTCAAGGATCGACAATGAAGGTTTTAGATCAACCAGTAGATCACGAACGAAGGGTGACCACTGACCTAGAGCATTACCAAAGGTCCAAGCAACACTCGTGCTGTTACACTACTGCAGCCACCTACCATGTTGACAGCATCCTGGTCGAATGGGTTCCACTCGATATTCTCAGGGTAGTGGGCCAGAACTTTGGACTTGAATTTCCTCTTCAGGGGACTTTGCTCAAAGTTTTCACCTGGAGTGAAAAGAAAACAAAGAAGAATCATGTCAAAGCTTAAGAAGAGAATCTACAGAAGAGAGACATAACAGTACAGGCTGTCATGTCCTCTGGAGGCAGAGTGCACTTTCCAGCTGACTCTTCAAAGCAAGCATTCAATTTACTAAGCTCATCTGGCACTGTGGCCTCTTCAATAGCAGTACAACAATTGCTCAATATCTGTTAACATAATTCTTATGAAATACACAAGCACAGTTGGTGGTATAATACATAATTGTTTTGAATGCTCTACCTCAGGTTTAACAAGTTGCAGTAGAAGAGACATAGTTAACTGTCTTCTTCAACATTCACTCAGTAAAATCTGTCGTCAAACTTTATATGATACCAATAATAAGCTGAATAAAGATTTGACATTTACTAGCCAACTATCTATAGTGATTGCTACTGCAGTCTCTGTTGATATATCTGCTTTTGTCATTGATGATTTATATTCCTCAGGATTTATGTAGTTCCTTTGATGATCAGAAGGGAAAAATCAAAGCATGGTGCTGTGGGGTACAAAGCGTATACTCTGTCTGATCCAGGCATTAGCTTTGATGAGTGGCTAAAACAAAAATTCTATTTATCAGCAGAATCTCGAAGCAAATATCTGAACATGTGAGAGATCACTTGAGGTAACTGGGTGAAACCACCATTTAAAGACAAATGAAAAATTATGTAATTCATTGTTGTTGCTTGCCCGCTTTGACATTCAACTAAATACCATTAAGATGAAAGGGAACTGATGTAGCTCAAGGGCACATCAGCGGGTTGAAAACTTGCTGGATTATAGGCTCACGTCTTATCCGTGATGAAATGTCTCCTGAGAAACGGGTTAAATCTGCAGCTTTGTGTTACTCTCTGTGGGCTATTTAATCTCATTGCTGATCGAACATTTTATTACTTTTAAGTGACCAGGGGCCTTATTTTTAACTGTTGCGTGCACACAAAAAACAGGGTCTGAGTGATGCATATTCTACTTTCCACGGAAAAAATGGGTTCTATAAAAACAAACTTGACAGGAGAATGTGTGCACTTGTAGTGTAGTCTGTTGAAAATGTTTTGACCATCCTCACACATTACTGAAAAAGCCACTATATATTATGTATATATAGTGTATATTACATTATATCTGTACACCATTAAGAGAAGAGTGCCTGGCTAATTCCTCAGATACTCTCTCTCTAAGCAGTAAACAAGGTCAGATTATAGATAAAGGACCAACCAACAGAACATTGTTGTGTCTACACATAGAGACTCTCGTATCTAATTAAGATGCCCCTGACAGAGAGGCACCAACTTCAACTCTCACCAACTTCAACTCTTTTGTGTGTTTGACAAGTGGCAAGACATAACGACACATTTAGGAATGCATATTGAGACTTAAAGATTCAGTCTGTAGAATTAAGTGACATTTAGGTGAAGTTGCATGTTGCAGCTGAAAACCCCTCACCTCACCCTCCCCTTCCAAACATGAGAGAGAACCTGTGGTAAACTTCAGTTTTCTTACTCAAAAGGTTTTAGTTTGTCCAGTTTGGGCTTCTGTAAAAAAACATGGCGGCCCCCATAGCGAAGACCCCCTCCTGATGTAAATATAAATATAAAGTATTTTAATATAAAAAGCCCATTCAAGGTTAAACAGAACAACAATTTAGATGAAACACACTAGTAAACAACATTACTAGGATTATTTTATGTTCAATAGATCCTTTTAACCTAAATCTTACACTCTGGTACTTTAACTTTCCAACAGGATGTGAACAACTACATGTTACAGCAATTCAGCCATTCATTGATGTGCTGTTATAATGGGTGACGCAAGTAGAGGAAGATATATGGGGATGCTGTGAGAGACATCTTCAGACAATTGCTCATGTTACTCTGTTAGCGTTTGTATATTGTTGCACCTTCTGGTCTCCTTGATGCATCAAGTCTACATTAAAATCTTCTGCATAAGGCATCAGCTGCTGCCCGAGTTCTCCTTTCACCAGCTTTCAGAAAACTTCCATAACAGAGATGTAGATGAAATGTGCTGAATTGATCCACTTTATAACATTAAACCAGCAGTGTATTTCTTGTTGTGCGACACAACTGTTCCATAAGCATCCTTAAATTGTAAAAGATATAGGCCAATTTAAAGCAAATTAATAGCAGTTAAAATTGCCGGAGCAATTAATCATTTTTACAATATCTTTAATAACACTGTGCAAGTAGGCTACAATTTAGTTTTCACAGTGTTTGAATAAATTCAACCATTTTAAGTAATCAATTGATTAATACAATAATTGTTCCTTACTTATGTTCATCTGTCAAATGCACATTTCCAAATGATATCCTGTTGCAGGTTAGGATATCACTGTTTGCCATGAATTTTCTTTGTGATTTAATCTTAAGTAATCTTTCAGATTGCTGTAAAGATACAAACACTGGTACATGATGGATTCACTGGAACTGCAAGAGGACTATGTTAATGGACGATTAGCACCATTTTGGTCACACATGTGATCAAACATTTTTCCTAGGATGCACCAGTGCGCCTAAAGTTTAGCTCGTCAGTCTATATGTATTTTCTCCTCTCCTCTCCTCCTGAGTCTGGGAGCGAGGCAGAGTTCACAATCACTGATGAAGATGGGTTTGTGGTGATAGGAGGCAGACACTGGTGTGTGTGTTGAGAAGAAAATCATGTGACCTCCATGGCTATCAATTCAGCCATGGAGGTCACATAATTTTCTTCTCAACACACACACCAGTGTCTGCCTCCTATCACCACATGTCACTTCTATCACATGTCACTCCTATCACCACATGTCACTTCCTGTCTTTGCCTGCTGCAACCAGCAGCACCTCTCACCTGAATAATGGGAGGATTTGTTGCTGCTGCGATCATGTCTGTGAAGAAAACCTTGGTCCGTAGCCATTTCTCAGGACTTTACCCACAGGTCATGTTTAAAAACAGCTTAACAGACAGTGAAGCAGAAATGAGAGGCGAAGTTAGTTTTGATTTTTATTCTTTTGCCTACGTCATTCGGACGTGCCTGCTACTGTAACAAGTGAATTTCCTCAGTGTGGATCAATAAGGTTTTATCTTATCTTAATAAAATCTTTATAAAAACCTGCTGTATTCATATTTTTTTTCCTGGATAAACGGGGCATTGCTTCTTCTGCAACAATGAAGTTAAAACACAGCGTTACGTCATAATCTGCGTGGGGAACATCTGTCTGCAGGAGTGTCTTTGTGTGTGTGTGTGTGTGTGTGTGTGTGTGTGTGTGTGTGTGTGCTCGTCGCTGTCCCTCTTCACACACAAACTGATAATCAAATGGGATATTCACCATCTAGTCCTATATTCCAAAATAGTTATTAATCGATGATGTTGGATCATAAGAGGGGGAGTGAGGAAGAAGCTCCGACATGAGACTCTAACCCAGAGAGGACCTTCGATGAGCGTCTGTCCTGAAGTAGCAGTGAAAATCAGCTGAAATAATGAACGTAGCTGAAAACATGATAATGTTTCATCACTGCATCTATGCAGTGTTAACTTTTATGCAACAGCCCAAACATTAGCATGTGATCTGCTCCTCCTCCACTCTGTGCTGTGTGCTCTGTCAACCTAACTCTATGTGGGTATAACTCTATTCCAGCCACATGATTTGTTTCGGCACTGTGCTATTCTCATTCTATTACTCAAAACATGGATGGTATGAATTCTATCGGCGTTATATTGACACGTCCTAAATTTCTATCGAGGAAAAGTTATATCAATCAAAATTGATTGTGAGAGGTTTCCTTGTTCAGTTTTCCAGCCTTAATTCCGTTGGGACTTTGTATCTGTGAACAATAGTTGGGCCTACATGTGTAGCCAAAGCCTGAGACCACATGTCTCCTTTGTTCTGAAGACAAAGACTTTGTTCAAGAACTCTCCAAGGGTCCTTCATCTTCTCAATTAGGTGTGAAACCTGCCCCTGCAAACAACTACCAGCTACAAATGATCACTGTGCCTCAAGACCCATGAGATTACCAGGCCAATAAAACCACAGTTCCCCCTCTGCTCACTCACTCTTCTAATCACTTCTCCTGTAGGAGGGGTGTACCTATCCTGCTCACCCAGCCAGGGAGACATTCTCCCTACCCAAGCTCTTTCGACATCCAAGCAGGCCTGCCTGAAGCAGACTGCTAAGTAGAAGTGTGGACGTTTTTCACACTTTCTGAGAGAATTGCAATTTGTAACAAATATATAATGTTTCCAAGAGACGGCTCTGTGGCTGGATGAGGATTTTGTAGCAGAGTGTTTACTTGATTTATAATGTGAGGCATTACTAGAAGAAGGACATGAAAGATATCCGTTTATTTCTTCTTTACTCGTTAACTCCTCTCTCTCCACAACAGAACCACACTGCTTATGACAGGAAACACAAACAACACTTTATATTTTGTTTCAACTAATTGAAAGAGATATTATCAGTGCATTTAATTAATTTTGAATTTTAATGCCAAACATTTGTTTTTCGACTTATGTTACATGAAGGCCAAAGTATAGAGAAACCTTCCTTACTCTCATGCACTAAAAGTATATCAGCTATCCTCAACCTTCTTTCTTTTCTTTATTGAACATTATATTCCTAGCCTTTCAGTTCTATAACAGGCTTTATTTTTAATTGCACATTATTTTATCTGAATTAATATTTTAATACATTGAGATGTCTATTTGAGATGTCAAAATATTTTATTTAAATTCTTTTGAAGGAGAAATTTTCCTCCTCCACCTAAAGTTGGTTGAAGTTATCTGATGTACTTCACACAAAAATTAAACAAACACACTAAACTGACTCGGAAGTGTTTTTGTTGTGTTAAAAATGGAATATTGCTTATTATATTTTACACCTTTACCCTCAGGTGTGCATAAACAGGCTATGAACTTCTTTTTAAGAAACGTGAAATTATTATCGTTATCGGCCATATGAAGCATGTAATTATTGGTTATGCATCTGCCGGAAAAATCTATATCATGCATCCCTGATTTTGTCCCTCTTCTGATATTGACGTCTGCACATTACGTTACAAGTTGTGTTCAATAAATAATGAAAATATTACCATCAATTTTATTAGTAATATATCTATATTATGCCCAGACCTGGAACAGGGCATCAGTGAGCCCCTGGATAGTCTGTGGTGGTATTTGTTGGCATCAGATACACAAATACATAATATTCCAAAAGTGCTTAATTGGATTTATGCCCTATGCTACCAGTAGTGACAAGGACACTGGCAGAACACAAAACTACAGAAGAATAACTCAGGAGATAGGATAAGGAGAGAGCCATTGTCTGTAGCCACCACATGCAAACCATTCCCTTTTTGGGGGTTGTCTTACTTTTGTCTCTCTATTGCACCTGTTTCATTTGCACCAAAACAGGTGAAATTGATTCACATTTTGAATATAGGACAAGATTTGAATGAGTTGAATATCCCTAGCATGTTTTAAGGTCTCCTGCACAATTTAGGTGAACAACTACCAGTAGATTTTAGCAGATGTTATGTTATGTTAGGGACATAAATGGAGTGAACCCTGCGAGCTAGTTCAGGCAGCCAACTCCAGCTGCGCTGCTCCAATTAGCAGCCTATTTAGCCCCTCCACCACCCCAGCAACCACCTATAGCCTCTGGGGGGGGATTACAAGTATTTGCTTGTCACTCCCACCATATCTGTGTAATAATATCGGGGGAGTGATTGAGCCTAGACACCAAACACAAACTATGTTCTAATGCTACAATAAACAGTTGAACGCGAGTTGTCTGACTGAACTTCAGTTGTGCACCTTAGCCACATTAAGTGTTTTGACCTTGTAATCAGTGATACAGGCCAAACCTGAGGGTACGCTGAGGCTAAAGGTAAATCTGACTGGCTACTGGCTTGTATGGCAGTAATATGAGAGCCATGTGGCCCGCTCAGTAGATCAGACATCATTACCTCTATGCCTTTCTAAAATAAGTGCTTTCCCATTTCAAACATATGACAAGCTGGAGAATATACCTTGTACATTCTACTACATTAATTAATACCACCAGTTGATGTTAGCAGATGTTAGTGACCACCAGCAGATGTTAAGGTCATATCTTCAGTTCTGTAACTTAGCCTCTTCAGTTGTTTACCTTAGCTTCATCATGTGTTTCGGCCTTTTAAACAAAAGAGACCCTCTTTCAGAGCCAGTGGCTGCCGCATTCTGCAGTGTGGGATATTTCTTTTATGGTCTGGCGCAAGGCTTGTCAATGGATCCCCAGATCTTTGAGCAACCTAATGGATGTTGAGAGAAAACCCTTGCAGCCAACTTCCACAGGGCAAACTATTACTTTTCAGCCTCTTTGGTCTGCCTCGAATTCCATGTCTGCATACCGCAGCCTTTTCCTCTCATTCGATTCATCAACATTATCCTCCCAGGGTACTTTTAATTCTACAAAGTAGATGTCGCGCAGGGTGGTGGACCAGAGTATCAAGTCAGGCAATTGAGTACCTGGATGTGTCTCCACCTATACCTACCTCGGGAGAGACTTTTTTTTTTTACAACCCGTGAGGATGTGTCCTAGTGGGCAGGATGGATCTTCGTACAATTTAGATGAAACACACTATTAAAAACATAACTAAGATTATTTTATATTCAATTTCTGCTAATAGATCCCTTTCACCTAAATCTTACACACTCAACCTTTACATGTGTAAAATATGTCTGAAGTGATGTGGAAATATGATTCATTTTCCCCACAATGCATTGTGGAAATACTATGATAATGCTGAAATTCTATTAGACTGGCTTATAAGATGTATCTTGAAAAGGGACAAGCTAACAATAAAAGCAGACATGCATGCAGACAGTATGGTGAGGCGCTCTGTTATGAGGGATCATTTACCTGTGGCTGCTGTATCTTGATCCCTGCCTTGGCGGTCTGCTTCAAGCCATTGGTACAAAGCTGAGGACGAGCCACATGCAGAAAAACATGGAGCAAAAAAACAAAGAAACAGTGTAATGTCAAAAAAAATGGCAAACAGAGAAGCGCACAAAAAAATGCATGAAATTGAGCAGAGATTAAACAGTACACATACTACTGATAGCACAACAGAGCACAGCACTGTATTTCAAACATAACACAAATGGGGCTCAAATGGAAGTATGAGCATTCTCAAAAAGGCCTTACAGCTTTTGGCAAATTTGACCAAATTTTAAAAATGCTGACATATGCAGTATGTTAGACACATTTTTTAATATGTAGCTTGGGGTTAATGGTATTGAGCAGCTTTTTGGAGTCAAATTAAGCAGGAGCATACATAAAGCAACAAACATTTCCAGTTCCAGCAAACCAATAAAGGCATAGTTAGACCACAGATCTGATACAACAAACTATGAATGAGACAGTGGGCATTGCTGATGCATGTGTATTTCTGCTTTAACTCTCAAATATGCGTCTGTTACCTCCTGACTTAATTATTGTCATTATTTTTTTATCTTGATGTTCCAGTAAGTCTGTGAAAAACCTGCTGTTAATCCAAAATTCTGCAGCACAAGTGCTGACATGAACTAGAAGAAGTCAAATCAAATCAAAATCTAATTGATTTCTCTGCATTGGATCCCTGTAAGATTCAGCCAGTCATGTCAAAATCCTGTTCCTCACATACAAAGCCCTTAATGATTAAGCCCATTCATGTATTAAAGAGCCCATAGCACCGTATTATCCAGATAACTTCACTCTCAACATTATTAGTATCACTGATACAACTACTATTACTATTTTCATTATAAAAACCAGTCTTGCAGTGCTTCAATAGCCTATGATATCAACACAACTTTTCCTTCAGGCTGCAAGGAAGGCTATCCCACGACGTGAGATCCAGTTTTTGCTGCTTCATCCACCCGCATCACATCCCAATGCCCACATGACTGGACCTTTCACACTGGTTAGAGTTCAAGTTCTGATGAGCACTTCCCTATACAGCGTGAAGGGAAGTGTCAAAGGACAAAGAAAGTAAGCAAGTGAGCAGTAAAATTTCCTGAAAGTTTACTAGGTCCTCTTACGTAACAGGGATCATACCACCGAATTATGCAACTACCTGGATGAAGGTACAGCACGTACTATCCTCCATACAGCAGATCAGCAACAAGGACAACCAGAGGACTTGCCCCTCTGAACAGTGAGACAAGATCTTCATGTTCTTCATGGAGGCAGCCATATCCTTTAAGCTCTCTCCTCCAAACCCAACACAGAAAAGCTACCAGGTCTAGGGTACCTTCAATGCTGGGATTTGGCAAAGCATACACACCAACTCAACATCTTAAAGCAGAAGTACCACCATTTTCAAGGCCTGCCACTACAGAACTTGGAGCAAGTCAGCCCTGTGCTGCTGATTGATGCTGATAACAACCAATGGTTCATGCCAATGGAACCAGTCCACCTCTGTCTCTTGGGAGATTAAGTCCATTACAGGGTCTCGCCTGCAAATGCTTCACTTTCATGTAGAGATGCTGTGACTGATACATTTACCACCATGGCACTGTAAAGAATTCTGCATGACCAGTGAGTGCCAAGACTTTGCAGAGCTCCTAGAAGCATGAGTTGTGTGGAAGGTTCTGTCAGCAAATATTGCAACAGGTGCATAGAGGCTGCTTTCCGACAGAAGTCCAAAGGCATTTGACTTAGCAGTTGAGTTGCGACACACAGCTAATTCAAGTGACAGACTGTCACCAACTAAAACATTGGGTTGTTTTGTGCAACCCTCATCTAGCCTGATAAAAGAAAGGGATGCAAATCTCACAAAGATCTGCACTGCCAATGTGAAGTCAATAATGCTGAAATAGCTGGGGATGCATTACATGGCAGCAGTTCTGTAAATTGAGTCACACATTCAGCACTTCAACACTAAATAACCACACTTACATCAAAGTGTAATATGAAAAATGGGTTTTAGCACAGGCTGTATTTGAGTGAAATGGGCAGTTTGGGATTTTTCCATATTTTAACGCCAACAAACCCTTCCTCAGAAATATAGACTGTTCAGACAAATCTTAAGGAAATGTGTCTTCAACTGAGTCTAATAAATAACTGAATACTCCAAACATTCATGAACAATATAAATCAGATCATTTATTATCATTAATAAAAACAAACAAACAAGATTATATAATTTTTAAACAGTACAGTAATGTAAGTGTTGATAAACACCTGGCCAGAATTACTGTTAAGCTTACTTTGGCATCTGTATGTTGCCTGCACACAACAAACAATATATTGCTAATAATATAGCTAATAAACTAAAATATTTATTATTATCATCAACATTATCCAGTCAGTTTTTAAAGTGTAATGTTTGGCTATTTAAAAGTAATCTATGTAAGCAATTTTATTTCTTTGCCTTATAATGAAAGGTTAGTCAGTGAATTTGTGTTTCCTGTCATCATAAGCAGGTTATCTGTATGAGACTTATTGTGAAGGGTCACCGACGGAAGTTGTTCTGATGTGTGTGTGTGTGTGTGTGTGTGTGTGTGTCAGCTGCAGGAGCTGGTCAGATACAAAAAGTAAAGGATTTCTCCTCTCGCTGAGAACTCCTTTGATGGAGTTGGTTGTCCAGCGTTGGTGGAAATAAGTTACTTCAGTTGCATCTTCTTAACTAACATTTCAGTGGCTCGCACTCACGAAATGTGACTCATGAGAGATTTCACTGCGCGGCGCACACAGAAATTATGTGACTCTAGAGAGGCAGGACACCATAGTTAGGTATCATAGTTCAAACTGCGGATATAGTAAAATCTGTTATTCACAACATCCCTGGTGATACTACTCCTAACATGTGACAGACACAAATATGAAGAAAAAAAAACTCTTGGGATGAAAAAGGAGTGCTATAGATGTAGAAGACACAGACAAGCGCCAATGCTGGGGTCGATGTGAAATAACACATGAAATCTGCAACGGAACCTCCCAATGCATTGTGCATGCGTGGAAAGCAAACTACAGAGAAAGTCCTGATCCAGTTCTCTTAAGTTTCTCTGCAGGTTACAGTTATAGAGGAAAGTGTCCTAATTGAGATTGAAGGGATGTTGAACTCCAAACCCCCCTTACATTTCCTCTGATATACAGTAGGAGACCCAGATTCAGTGAACACTAACTCCCTGTTGCTGGGGCGACCAGACACACCATTTACCCAGGTCATCTCTTGGTATTGGTTCTGAGCCACACACTCTGGGCCACATACACACAGAGGAGGTACCTAAACAGCTCCTACATGCACAAAACACACACTCAAACTTCTCATTCTCTTTAAATGGAGCCAGCGCCTGCTGTGCTGAACTCTTCTGCCAATACCTGGCACTGGCTGGGAGAGAGCAGCATTCCATTCCTTGGCAAGAGGACAATTAAGTTGGATAGTGGAGATGTGGTTTTAACACCTTCTAATCTCTTAAAAATGATGAATTATCCTCAGATGATGTGGATCAGTCATAGGGATCAGTGCTGCAGCCAGACCAAGTCAGAATTAGAAAGGCGTGTGTGTGTGTGTGTGTGTGTGTGTGTGTGTGTGTGTGTGTGTGTGTGTGTGGCTCTGTTGGCCCTATTTGCTCTCTATCTACCAGACACAGGGTGCCACTGTGGTGATGACATAATTGTATCACGTTGTCAATCACTGCTTTATTCAAGAGGGCAGAAGAGAAAGGGTGAAGGAGGGAGAAGGATAAAGGAGGAGGGAAAAGGGGGGAGAAGGAAGGAGAGGGAGAAAAAGGCTGGGGCAGATGGTAATAACGGTGGCCAACTCATTTTCATTCAGGCACATGGTATATCAACAGATTGTCAGATGCTGTTTATCTAATCCAAGGGTCGACAAGTAATTTTGGTCACGGGGCCGGTATTTTGCTTAAGCAGTAGATGGCAGACCAGAACATAATTATTGGCTATTTCAAGATATTAATTTACAAAATGCACCTACAATTTGTGACAGACTGTAGTCCACTGTCCACTGTGCAGTCAGAAACAAACAGATCCACAGATAAGATGTGTCTAGGTTTACGTAGCATCAAAAATAGGGCTAACAAAATCTATGTGACATGAGATCTTTATTCAATAATTGGCAATACTGACAACCTTCTCGAGATGAAAGGGTGTGTCATGTTGTATCACAGTTATAGTGACTAAAATGATCATGTTTATCCTTATTATTTTGGTTATGGTAAATTTTTATTAAGTGTTATATAATTAATGATATATTGTTTTTGTAAAAATAATAGTAGCATATAACACCATGTCAAATGGGCTACAATAAAATTGAATGAACCTGACTTTATTCTAATAACTCAAAGGGCACTCAGAGGGTGCATATCTCCACCAAGGCCCAACAGTTCTGGAATCTGCCCCTTGATCCAGAGCCGCACCAGTTTCATGTTAATACATCCAGTTGACTGACAGATAGACAGGCTGATAAAGTGAAACGTAACCACCCTGGTGGAAGTATATGACATATAGCTTATTTCAGAATACTCCCCTGGCATTAGTACCCCTCCTCAAATAAACCTACAAAATACTACGACTAAAGTTTAAGAAAATGGGTTTAATCTGCAGTGAAGCAATGTCTCTACAATCAACCGGATTCTGGTTATGTGCAGCAATTTTGTAGTCAATGCTTTTCATAAAAGGAAAGTGAATTTACTTTGTTACTGTTCAAATCTGTGGTTAGATACATGTTTTATTGATTAACTTAACTGGTGTTATTTTTTCAATAAATTTCATGTCTGTTAAACCAACTACACAATCTGCAGACCCAAGCTGAATGTTGTATGAATGTTATTGCTAGGGCTGCACCGTTTATCAAAAATCTATCGACATGCGTGATAGATGGAAAGTGTTTCCATGCGCCACACATTCACGCTCTGCATGTCAATATATTTTGACAGATGGAGCCCTGCTGCCCTAATAATTAATTAATTAATTAAAGACATTCAGATAATTGAAGGGTTTTTTCCACCAGTGAACTGTTGCCAGAAGAAGAGAATAAAGAGAGAAAAGAGAGATTTCACTCTGCCTCCTCCGACTGGATTCTACTGTGGAAACTTGTAGTGATCACGTTTCTCCCAATTCAAAATCATAACTATGAGCGGATGATTACATAAAAGAAATGTGAAGCTTATTTATGATCCCAGAACCTGAGGGGAATATAACAGCACACAGACAGCGCCAATTCTCTTGCGAGCAGCTGTCTGGCTGTTCACAGTGCATTTCACAGCGCATTTCTCCGCGCCCACTATTGTATGCTCTGTTCAATGTAGGAGTTCAGGGGGAAATGATGATGGTCTTCACAAGTGACCAAACTAGGGGAGCCTATTTTGCAATATTCAACAACGTTATTGAATATTGTATGTTTTCTTTATATGGTGCAGCTCTAGTTCAGAATCAGAAATACTTTATTAATCCCCGGAGGGAACTTCCAAAAGTCACAGAGCTCCTGCGCAAGCAATGAAAAGGTAGGTATAGCAGTAAGAGTAAGGGCTAAGCAAAAAATGCAGCGTAATCAAAATAAATCAAATTAAACAAGATAAAAGGAAAAAGTAAAAGATGTACATAAGTAGAAATAAATCTGCAACATAGAGCAACATGATATGTAAGATAAGTACACACAGTATACATGTTTAAGCTTATTTACCAGTTGTAATGATACAATTTAACATCAACAGGTAGGAATGATTTCCTGTGTCGTTCTGTCGAGCAGCGTGGGTGGATGGGTCTGTCACTGAACGAGCTGCAGAAGCTAATCAAGACATTATCGAGAGGATGTGAAGGAAAGTCCAATATTGTCCTTACTTTAGACAAAATGTTCCTCTCCATCACCGCTGTGATCTGACCTGCCCAGTGGGGGGAGGGGGGAAGAGCTGTATGCCTCCTTCACATTAGCATACAGCAGGTCTATTGTTCTTCCCTCTCTGGTGGGACAGCTCACAAATTGGGTGAAAGTGGGGAGTATAGAGTCCTGGTTGAAATAGTTGAAGTCACCCGAGATAACAATGAATGCACTTGGGTGTTGAATCTCTAGCCGGGCTATTGCAGAATGAACTGTTTCACAGTTAGTGCTTGGGTTAGCAGAGGGGGGAACATACACAGCCACCATGATAATGTGAGAAAACTCCCTCGGCAGATAATATGGATGGAGTCCGACAGCAAACAGTTCAGCATCCCGGCTGCAGATGCGGTCCTTCACCGTGATGTGCGCTGAGTTACACCACCGGCTATTCACAAGAACAGCAAGCCCCCCTACTTTGCATTTAGCGCTCCGGACACTGTCTCTGTCTGCGCGCACTGTGTGGAAGCCGGCGTTCCAGTTTAACATGTGATTTGTTGTCTTTATTCCAGATGTTGCTGGTCAGTTGCAGACTCGGTCGCAGATTCATCATTTTTCCCAAAGCGCCTGTGTGTGAGGTGCGGTGATACACTGAAGCTCTCAATGAAATAAACATCAAACAAAAACCCATCACGAGTTAATACATGTCTGTCCGTGTCAACCTCACATTAAACAACAATATAAATCATATGGGTAAAAAATAAATATAGTCCAAAAATCTTGGACGGGATTCGAAATGACGAGCTGAAGCAGTTTGAGCTTCCGGACTGATGACGATGTCATTACACCACGGAGCCGCTGAGATGTTTTGTGTGCTTCTCCTGAATCAAGCGTTTTTTACTCTGTCAGGTGTATCACACCAGATGTGGTTTGAGGAAACACCCATTTCATCTGGCGATAGTCCGAACACAGAATAAACGCTGCATATTTATTCACAGGCTTCACAAACTGATGACCATCGTTCATAGGAGACACAGGGAGTTATGGAGAATACACACGCGTGGCCAGCGTCACACAAAGTGCCTTTGTGGTGATCATTACAATGCGCACACCAAACACGTGTCACATGAAAACATCCCTCACATCAACAAGGTGGAAGCTCACGCAGTGTCTTTGTGAGTTAACTTGATCATAGTGCTTTTATGGGATGTGTTTAGCTTCATGTGTCCTCCAACTCTCCCTGCTGGTTAAAGTCAGCAGACGTGATTTTAAAAGATGTGCTCGATGTTCTCCACGATGAGGTTCAGTCCTCGGAGAATGAAAACAACCCAAACGCTTGTCAGAAAACAGGTGTGTTTGTTTTTCATAGTTTCTGTATTGCAAGTGGCGTTTATCTGTGTGTAATCAACAGATGATCTGTCTGAACTGTGTCGAGTGTGTTGTCAATATGACACATCTGGCAAATCTGGAAAACGAACTAAGCGTATTCACTGTCGAACAACGTGTTGTGTATTTGTTCTCTTCTCTCAGGTGACTACGTGCTTTGTTGGAGCTGTGTCAGTCGAAGGAGTAAATAAAGTACCCTGTGTAACTATACTAGGCAAATTATAATAACAATAATAGTATAATTCTTTTGTATCTTGTAGTTTCACGAACAATATGGTGTTGCAGGCAATTTAAAACGCTTCAGGAAACATTAAAAATAAAAGTGTCTACTCCCACGACGGGAGTAGATACGCTGTGCTCCACATAAAAATGTCTCACGAAAAGGCGGTGACGCTGCCCACTACGCCACCGATCAAACCTAGGGGCAGCATCACCTCTACGTTCTGATGATCGTTCTGATGACACAGATGCACACCTGCACACTCATCCTCACTAACAGGATTGCAGACAGGCTTGTGTTTGCCGATCACTTACTATTGTCGTTGTATTCTAACCATTCACACCTGGTGGTGGCAAAACCTATATATATGTGGCCTTTTCTGCTCTCTTGATTTGTAGCGAGCAGACAGACTGACTGACAGACAGAGAGAGAGATATATATAAATAAATAAATAGCAATAGATAATTAATAGTAGTATTTAGAGCAGGGAAATATTACAGACATAGGATAGACTAGTAATTAGTAGTACAGTCACTTTATATAGATATAATTAATATTTAGATATACTTAAAATGGACCCTAAACCTTCTTTCCAGATGAGTGACATTTGAAAAGGAAAAATCCAAGGACTGAGGAAGGTAAGCGATAAATGTGATTACACTGAATATTAGGGCGGATTTATTTATTCATGCACCTTCACTTGTAGGCCTATGTTTTTTTTCTTTGTCCTATGTTTATTTATTCTGCATCTGCCTTTTCTAATTTGTCCAGGTAATTTGTCCCAAAAGAGAGGCGCTCTGTTTATGTGGATCCTTTTGGGGCACAGAAGGAGGCATTACAAAAATGCAGTGCAGTGACCAGGCAGAGGGGGGGCAGTGGTGTGGTGGGGTTTCACAGATTTTTGAATGAAGTTTTATTCATTATTATTATGCTACGCAGGGCTTTCATGAGGCAGCGAGGCATCAACTGCTCCCACTGGTTTTGTGAGACTGTTACACATGCTCATCAAGAGGATGCCACGTCATGTGGTGTTATTGTGTGTAAAGTAAGTGAACGTGCTTTGAATCAATCACTTCAAAAATAAATGGTTGGACCGTTTCTGCATCCATGTTTTCCACTCCAGTTAGCAGACATGATTTTAAATGAAGACGACTTGCACGTCATTTTTATTAAGCCTACTATCCTGTCTTAAAAAATGCAGATAGGTCAACGGCTGATCTAAGGAACAGGTTGGTGTCTTATTTGTTTTTATTAGTTATTGTAAAACAAGAGCTATTTATTTCAGAAAATAACATAACTATGATTTATGAACAGATGATTTGTCCGGCCTATGTCGAGTGTGTGGGGTGTATGACACAGATGTGCAATGGGTAAGGCAGATTTTAAGCACTTTCAGTTGATGCATGTCTTACTTATGGTACTGCCATACGTGTTAATATTTTCTCCACTTCCAGATCGCTTGAACACTGTGTGACAGTTGGTTTCACTTCAGCTGTGTTCGGCAACCACCGGTTGATGGTGACTTCTATTGCCCACTGTGCATCCAATAAACATGTAGAATGTACTGCAACTCCCTCCTAGCTGGTCTACCTGCTAGTGGCTATCCAAACACTGCAGCTCATCCAGAATGCGGCAGCTGGACTGGTCTTTGATTTACCTAAATTCACTCCACACCACTCTGACGATCTCATTACACCACGGAGCCACTGAGATGTTCGGTGGCTTGATTGATTTATATAAACGTCAAAAAAATAAAAGTGCCTTAATCCTATTATACCTTTTTTGTTTAGTTATTGAGAGAGAGAGAGAGAGAGAGAGAGAGAGAGAGAGAGAAATACCTTCACATTCAGACCAGGTTAAATCTTTGAAATGACATTGGAATCAAGAAAAAACATCATGGGGTCTATTAAGTTAAAGTTAAATGTAGTTGACATCTCACAAAGGAAGGCAACTAACAATGCAGTTCAACAAACGCACACAATCCTGCAATCCTGTTAGTGAAGATGAGTGCGCAGGTGTGCATTTGTGTTGTGTCTACACACTAAATAAAATGCCACTTGCATATTTTCAGATGAAAATCTCTGACAAGCCTCTAATTACTTGTGTTTGTACTCTTGCTTCACACCAACCAAGGTATCACTGAGCACACGAAACGCGCACTGATAGTAAACACGCACAATATCAGTTTTTCGTGATGCCGTACATGTGGTAAACACACGGGTGCAGCTGTGTCCAAATGTGTGATGTATGAACGATAATTCCAAGTGTACAGTTAAGATGTGACTGTCACAAGTTAACCTGGGCGTATTCTGAAACAATAGTACGTGGTGAGTGGTTCACAGGCTCCACAGTCATCACAACATAGAGGTGATGCAGCGTGGGCAGCGTCGCCGCCTTTTCGTGAGATGTTTTTATGTGGAGCACAGCGTATCTACTCCCGTGGTGGGATTTTACTCATATTTAGCCTTAACTTTAGCCTTAACACTTGATTCAGGAGAAGTATACCAAACATCTCAGCAGCTCCGTGGTGTAATGAGATCGTCATCAGTCCAGAAGCTCAAAGTGCTTCAGCTCGTCATTTCGAATCCCATCCAAGATTTTTGGACTATATTTATGTTTTACCCATATGATTTATATTGTTGTTTAGTGATGTTGACACGGACAGACATGTATTAACTCGTGATGGGTTTTTGTTTGATGTTTATTTCCACGGGAGCTTCAGTGTATCACCGCACTTTACACACAGGCGCTTTGGGAAAAATGACAAATCTGCGACTGAGTCTGCAACCGACCAGCAACATCTGGAATAAAGACAACAAATCACCAGAAGCCATGATCCCCAGTTAAACTGGAACACCAGCTTCAGGGTCAATCAGCTGATCCCTGTTGTAAACAATGCAGGCAGCATGGAGTGCCTTCGCCGCTGTGCCTGCTTCGCGCATGCGCACCGTCCATGACTGCCATGACGGAGATCAGCACTACAGGCTTCCATTTGCAGACCATTGATCTACACCTTTTTCTGAGCTTTTTAGAGAAGAAACTGATGACAGAAACTAAGATAACCCTCACCACGCTAGATGATATCAACAATAGACACAATGAGATAGGAGATCATGGCATAAAAGCGCATTGTTGTGATGTCTGTGCACTGGGGATTTAGAGGGAAAATGCGTCCCTTAAGTTCTTTTGTCTCAGTTAAGCTTTAGTCACTAACTAGTCCAGCATTCTTAACTCATGACACTGCAAGACAGAGAGGAGCTCCACTCAAACTTCATATATGTATCTCAGAAATGCCTGCCTGCCTGCCAGGCAAGTGTTTGATATTTCTATTTGTTAAATCACTCTAAAGCATATGAGTAGGGATATTATGTTTCCCTTATTGTTAATCTAATATCTTCTAATGCAGTGTCTTACTCCAGCGATTTCAAAATTTATGAAAAACTCATAACAATAAAAAAACTATTTGTAGAGCACCTTTCTACAGAAAATGCAGCTCAAAGTGCTTTACATANTAAAAGTGAAAACTATGTTTGATCCATAAAGAAAAAAGACCTGTGTGATGCAGATATGTGCATAACAAAATAAAATTCACAATATATACGTGAGAATACACTGTATTCGTGCTGAAGAAATTAGCTTGTTGTTTATGGTCTGATTCAGAATGTGGCTGATGGATGCAACCCAGGTGTCATCATAACCAACTGTACCTGGGCTATGCCACAAGTACAGGCAGAAGAAAGTTAAACATATATTTATAGGGGCACATTAATGCAGTGAAAACTTGAGCTGAGTTACCAGGGCCCAAAGATGTGACAGGGCCTCACAAAGATTGGAATTAATGGAGCGAACCCTGCGAGCTACTTTAAGGAGTCAACTTGAGCTGCGCTGCTCCAATCATGTGACATACCTCATTCTCCACAATCATCTATTATACACACCCACCTTATTTAATAAATTTCCCATCAGCCCCTTTGCTCGCACTACTGCTGCAGTATTGCTACCAGTTGCTTCAGCTTCTCAGCTATTGACCACGTGATCGTTGTGACTGGGTCATTTGTCGCTCTCAACCTGATAGAGTCTGAATCCTCCAGGGAAGTAGTTCGCTTTATTCCTGAAACTTGGGCTCAGTCCTTCGAGATTCCATCAGAGTGTGAATCGGACGTCCAGCGTCTGCACCTTAGCTCCCGCAAACCTCTTAGCTGTGTGGCCTGTGCACCGCATCCTGGAAGAGCTGAGCACCTGCAACATTCAGTCATCAGGCTTGAACCAAGCGTCAACTACCTTTGGCTATAGGAAAACTCTGCGACGCCGAACAAACGCTGGTAACAGCTTTACCGACAGCCTCCTCCCAAAGCCTTGCTGCTCCACCAACCTCCCCCTCACCTGAAGATATATATCCCTCAAAGACAGACAAAAGACGCCTGGATCCTCTGAAGCTTCCATCCTGTCCCCTCTGCTGAATGAAATCTGCACTGAACATTATGAATTTAACAATTCATTCTACAAAATAACACCATCTCCCCTGCACTTGATGTAAACAACACCGGTGAGCCAGTGTTCCAGTTTAACTGGGGATCATGGCTTCAGGTGATCTGTTGTCTTTATTCCAGATGTTGCTGGTCGGTTGCAGACTCAGTCGCAGATTTGTCATTTTTCCCCAAAGCTCCTATGTGTGAAGTGCGGTGATATACTGAAGGTGTCGTTGAAATAAACATTTAATATACATCTGTCCATATCAACTTCCCATTAAACAACAATATAAATCATATGGGTAAAAAAGTTAATAAAGTACAAAAATCTTGGATGGGATTCGAAATGACAAGCTGAAGCAGTTTGAGCTTCTGGCCTGATGATGATCTCATTACGCCGAAGAGCCGCTAAGATGTTTGGTGCACTTCACCTGAATCAATTGTTTTTTACTCTGTCAGCTGTATAACACCAGATGTTGTTTGAGGAACCTCCCATGTCATGTGGTGATAGTCCGAACACAGAATTAAAATGCATACTTATTAACAGCTTCACAAACCGATGACCATCATTCATAGGAGACACAGGGAGTTATGGAGAATACACACGTGTGTCCGGCTCCACACAAAGTGCCTTAGTGTGACGCTGGTGATCATCACAATGTGCACACACCAAACATGTGTCACATGAAAACATCCCTCACATCATCAAGAAGGTGGAAGCTCGCGTGGTGTGAGTAAAGTTGGTGATCATGCTTTTGTTGGATGTGCTTCATGTGCCCTCCTACTCTCGCTGCTGGTTAAAGTCAGCAGACGTGATTTTAAAAAATGTTCTCGATGATGAGGTTCAGTCCTCGGAGAATTAAAACAACCCAAACACTCATCAGAAAACAGGTACGTTTTTCTTTTTGTACTTTCTGTGTGTAATCAACAGATGATGAAGCAACAATACAAGTATGATGGTTTGTTGGTTTGTTGGTTTGGTGTAAGGCGTTTTATTAAGTGTGTAGATACTTGCACACTCATCTTCACTAACAGGATTGCAGGCAGGATTGTGTTTGCCAATCACTCTCTGATGTCATTTTATTCTAACCATTCACACCTCGTGGTGGCAAAACCTATATATGGATTTTTTTGCTCTCTTGATTTGTAGGAAGTTAGGAGATTCAGAGAGCGAGAGAAAGACAGAGAGAGAGAGAGAGAGAGATAAAAAAAGAGAGAGAGAGAGAGAGAGATAAAAAATGTAACATAAACCAAATTGCTCAGACAAACACTACAGAAGTCTCCGGAGTATTCAAGCAAAGTTAACAGCACGCTGACACCAGCATCGGCCCTTATCACCAAAAGCTCTTTTGACATTCTCATTCAAGTCTTCTACGTCTATAGCACTTCTTTCTCATACTAAAATATTGTTTTCTTTTATTGTTTTTGTGTCTTACATGTTTTGAAACGTCATCAACACACCCACTCGTACATGGTCAATCCTAAGGAGGATTTCCTGCTGTGTTCTCCCATTATTTATTTATATATGAAACGTAGGGCCAGGCAGTGCACAGATTGGTTTGAATGGTCTTTCAGTCCTGAGTGACTGCTCTGTCGACCAGTAGGTGGTGCTTGGCTCCTCTGGTGTTACTACCAACTCCTTTGTGGGCCCAGCTCATGTATTAAGAGCTGTCAGTCTTTGTTTGGCAGTCTCCAGTGCCTCAGCTTTGGAGAGTGTGTTGTAGTCTTGATACCCTTTCGTCATCCCTCCTTTCTGCTGTTCTGATAGTTGACTAACTTCTGCAGTTCTGAGATTTGAATAACTTCTTCTCTGGTATTGCTGCTGCTATAGTGTCCGCTATAGCAAACCTGGGGGTTTGGTAATCAGCCACTGGGGTTCAAGGTTTTCAGACACCACTGAAATCGCTTCGCTCTGAGAGGTGTGTGTGTGTGTGTGTGTGTGTGTGCGGGCGCGTGTGTGCGTGAGTGCGTGCGTGCATGCATGCGTGCGAGACAGTGATGGCAGTGTGAGGCAAATGAGAGGAGGGTTCAATCCTTTAAAACTTGGAAATGCTTTATGTTGCATCTAT